AGATCGTTCTCTTTGTAAACGTCGTTAAGTAAAATGTAGGTTAAGTTTACTTTCGCCTTAAAACAGTAATAAAGATTTTGTTTTCTAACAAATCACCTCATCGGGCAGTAAATTCTCCCGCACATAACCCCACAATAGGCCGTCAAGCTCCAATATTAGGACAGGCTTACCCTCTATCACGCTGCCAATGTCACGCCCCGCCGGGATTGACAATAAACACGCTGCGACCGCAAACACAATGTGTTTACCGTGTTCCTAACACGGTCTATGTAAATAAGGCTACGCTTTCAGTTGTGTTCGTTGTTAGAAGATTGATTTTCATATAACATAATGGAAAAATCACAGCAACCTTTTAGTTTATACGTCTCCGAGTCACGGAAATAAGAATTCAGAGATTTTGCAGAAGACATTATTGAAAGTTAACTAATGTTGCCTAACTGAAACTTCATTGTTCCAGAGTGTACTTTTTAATAAAACAACAAAATCCGACAGTGAGCATAAATAGTATAAATTAATAGTGCTTTATACAAAAAATATCACTCACTTTAATGTCAAATATTTTGACCTAAAGAGATATAACGAATACTCTCAGGGGACTATAAATAAATCACTCCGTCGTCTTATGTGGGCTTCGTATTTTATTTAGGTAAAGATTCAATTTATCTTCGAGAACCTTCTAGCGGTCTATTTGGCGGACTTTATTTATCAACGTATATACGACCCTAAAAATACGACTTACATAAACAGTTTATAAATGAAAACATAAGTAAAAATAAAAATAAAAACAATACCGAAGATAGTTAAAGAGAAACTAGTAATAAATAAAGACCAAGACATGATTTTAATATTAAAAATGCGAAATTTTAGATGGATGGATGTTTGTAAGAGATTGTAGCCTAAACTGCTGAACGGATCTCGATAAAATTTGGCGTAAATGTAGAGAATAGTCTGAAAGAATACATAGGCTTTGCTTTCATTAATTTTTAATTGCAAGCAAAAGAATTAGCGGGCGAAAGTTATTTCTTAATATAGACGTAATAAAAAGACTTTAGTACGTCTACAATTTTTAATAATCTAAGTCCCATTCTGCTATCTACAAACTGTTATCATACAGTATCAAATCACATACAAGTTCAATAAACCTTGTGGTCTGTAATTATAAGCGTTTGAACTTCGATAAATTGCATCGAGTTCAAACAACAGTTCGTCGACTTGCAAACAATGTGAATGCGTTGTTATCTATGCGACGTCACTACAAAAGAGTTTCCATACATGTGTAAAACTCTTCTGTACATAAAATATTTTTAGACGCTTGTTAGAAATATATATTGTAGAAATTTATAGCTTTTTTTAAATAAAGTTTTTAATGTCACGTAACAGAATTATAGAGTTGTATATCGCAAGTGACGTAGGTGTTTAATACTAAATGTACACTAAAGAAGACCTCACACTCTGAGTGTAACACTAATGTCTTATAGATGTAATGTGCTATATAATATGAAAGCGTTAGAAACACTGTAAATTGTTAGAAACTGTAATTAAATTAAATGAACCCATTTATATAACTTTACTATGCAATTAACTGAACTGAATTACGTAAAGGACAGTTCAGGATTTCATTTAAACTTAATTGAAAACACTAATTTTAGCCCAAGCCTCATTTACCTACAATTTAAAAAAATAAATTGAATTCGTTGGAAAATGAGATTTAAAAAAATTGCCAAATGTTTGGCGTTTTCTAACAATTCATTCAGGATTTTAGTACTTTATGTGTTATTGAGAAGCAAAATGTTAGCGTGGTATGGACATGTTATGCGACGAGACGATGGGGACATAAACCAGAAAGTGTTAAGAATGAAGATGGCTACAAAGGAAGAGGAAGACCGAAGAAAGTATGGATGGATTGTGTGAAAGAGGATATGCTTAAGAAAGAAGTTGTTTCAGGTATGACGGCTGATAGAGATGTATGGAAGAGCAGCACTGTGCCGACCCTCCATAAGGGATAAGGGCAAGTTGATGATGATTTGTTAAATAAATATTTACTATAACATACATAAAGTAAATATCAACTAAGTAAACGCTGACTATTTTAATTTAATAAGATCGTTTAGTTGTTGTTAGCAAGAGAAGATACCGTGATAAGTGTCACTTTACCCCGTGTACTTTGCCCTCGTGTCATGAAGTACCTCCTTCAATACGGCCCGAGTAAGACACACTTTACTTTTGAACGAAGATGCTTTAAACAAACATGTACAAGAAGTAATTTGTACATGGATTAGCTAAAACTTTTCGCTCTTTCAAAGTTATAATTTTAACATGCCTTTTGTAAAATCTCCAATGTAATTCGATTTATGGAAAGATCTTTGTTCTTAAAATCTGTGTCACTTGATCCGGTCTTCATTGATCTAAAAAAAACATTCTTACTGCCATATTAAGTGTTATTCTGATACTTATCTAACACAGTAAGGATCGTCCTTAGTTATGATTAAATAATTTTGATTGAGGTGTGGCTGTTTGTTTAATTTCATGTTGGTTTTATCTTTACACTGGGACATCTTATTTGATTGGTTTTTTTTATAGTCGAGGTATCGATCATTCTGTAAGCGTTATTAATTAACGTTTAAATATAATACCAACGTTAATTTTAAACGCTTGAAACAAACGTATTCCGTTCGGGTGAGCATAAAATTTTTCAAGTGGGTCGAGCCGTTTATATTTTTCTGAGCCGAGACTGCGCTGGGCCGCTGCCAGATACGATATATCTCGAGAAATATACTGAAAGAATGTTTTAACTATTGTTTTAGTAATTGCGTTATTTTTAAAACATCATTAACGACAAAACAAAATAAATATAGGAATGTGATTATAAGTGCAGCGGAAATTTTGTACCCGTTTCTAAGGAAACTGAACGAACGTATTAACGTAAAATTTGATACATTTAAATGTAAAGTAATGTCTATTTTTAATAAAAAAAAACTCTTACAAGTAATATTAAATACTGATAAATCCTTCTAATATTATAAATGTGAATGTTTAGATGGATGGATGTTTGTTAGAGTTTGCAGCCTAAACGGCTGAACGGATCTCGATGAAATTTGGTAAAGATGTAAAAGATAGTCTCGAAGAACACAACACATCGACTTTTGTAATTTTATTTAATTCCACTCGGACGGAGTCGCGGGCGAAAGCTAGCAATACTATAAATGTCAGATATCCATTTACACAAACAAGCTTCATTCCGTAACCGTGCTACGACGTAGATGCTCTACGTACTCAACGAGCAATGACGTCTTTCAACGCACACAAGTTAGGATTGGTTTTATTTTTGTATGATTTTATTAGGTGAATAAAGTATCAATTATTAACAATAATATTATTAACAATGAGAATACGTATTCAAAAGGTTAAAATTTAAGTCGATAACGATTAACGACACGTGACAAATAAAAGCTTTATGTCTTTACATAATTTCTAACTGCTACTCACGAGTCGTTTAGTGGTCACTATATACTATATCTATACTAATGTTATAAAGAGGAAAGATTTGTATTTTCATATGTATTAAAATAAGTTTTAACTGTATTAAATTAGGTTTTAACCTACTTAGAAGATTTCGAAAATTCCTTCACCATTAAAAGCTTTGTTCGGGCGCAACAGCTAGTATTAAATAGTATCTTAGTTCAGATTTATCATACTAAGTTTACAACAAAGAGTGCCCTTAATAAGCATGTTAAGATTCTAAGCAAAAGATTAAATTTCACAAAGACGACTTAATAAAAATTTAATCTGTAGCAAAATTTAAAGTGTCATTGTTTAAATATCTTTAAGAAAAAGTAATAAGAGATTCCTTAGTACGATATAAAAATATTATTACAACTTTTGTTATAAACCAGACCAGTTGTTTCAGAACTTATGATACAAGTATTTTAAAAGTTTTTATAAGAAAGTTGAAGGGTGTACAAAACATTTTTTTGATAAACGTAGACATTTTATAAAAAGCTATAATGATAAAATAAATAAACCATAAAAAACCAGATGACTTTTATAATGTATCACATAAAAGACATCTGGATTTCGGTCTTTTATGTTTTTATTTGAAAAAGTTTAGTCAAAAAACATTATCGTAAACAAACATAGAATTATAGTAAATTCCCATTTCTGAAACAGCTATAGAAAAATGTAGTACTTATTCTCTATAGTTTTAATGAATACGAGAGATTTTGATTTATATTTCGCAACAATTTCATAGAGTTTATATGGCAGTAGAGTACAGACAACAAGCTCGAACAAGCTCGAACAAGCTCGTAAAACAAACAACATTATTGCCTTTCGCAAACGAAACGAGTTGAATTTTGTCGACCTTGTTTATTTGATGACTTATATGGATTTCGTTAATATTTATTTCTGTAGTAACAATCTTTGTTATATTTTTATGATACACTAGCTTTCGCCTGAGTCTCAATCCGCGTGGAATAAAAAAAAAACAAAAGCAAAGCCTTTGTGTTCTTCCAGACTATGCTCTACATCTATGTCAAATTTCATCGAGATCCGTTCAGCAGTTTAGGCTACCGACTCTATCAAATCCATCTATCGAAATTTTCGCATTTATAACATTGTAAGATATAATATGTAATATAAGAGAAAGGATTAGCCGAGCGTCCCGACTTCACACATATTGGAGTCAAAAATCTTAATAAAAACTTTGATAACAAGCGTAATTTGTAATTATTATCAAGATTGGTTCTGTACTTTCGAAATTAATCCTCATATCTGAATTCACTGCCTTCTTAAGCATCCTCTTGCACTAAATCCATCCATACATGCTTCGGTATTCCTCTACCTCTGTGATCATCTTTTAATGACGATTATTGTGATTGTTGTCTATTAAAACGTACTATTCAATTATTATGTTAAAATTCCAATTTTGAAATTATAGTTAGTTTCTTTTTTAATCCTTGTAGTAAAATACCAATGTATGTGAATAGCTTTCCCTTTCACAGAAATTTAACGATTTTCTTTTGTCTCAGATCAACCTTCAAATTGAATTAAAATAGAGTTAAAATCGATTCTTTAAAGCTACGTAGGTTCAGACTATGAAGGGCAAGGACGCCGTTAAATTTTACTGCTTTCATCATAAATATCGAGGCGCACTTTCTGAATAAGTGAAGATAAGTCAGTTAAAAGCATTGAAGCAACTTAAAAGCATTTCGTAATAGCGAAAATGGAACAAGATTTATTTATGTAGTCTTTAGATATTTTGTCTAATATGTACATTTTAGTAAATGGACTATTATCGTAGTAATTTCACAGTCATAATTAAAGCGGTAGGTAATTACACAAAATTATGACGAAACTATACGCAATTTTATAAAAAAATCAATATTGGAAATTCGAACTACATTTTAGTTTCAATGCCCCTACAATTCCCTGAACACACTTATTATTCAAATGTAAACACATTTGTCATTTGTTTTTAGAGAACATAAACTGCATGGAGTCAGGAAATAGCCAATTACGAGAAGAATTAAGATAGAACCAGCCAGAGTTAAACGGGATTTAATTCGAGGGTGCCATAGTGTAGCCTTCATTTAGTGTTGGAACAGGAAATCATTAGCGACGTCTGATGTATAGATGAGAAGAGAATCAAACAATAGCCCCACTAACGCCTCGTAGATTTCATATGTTTTATAAAGTTTATTGTTTTAGTGATCTTTATTATTAGTTCAGATTCTATATTATATTACAAATAGTTGCTCGTTAGTAAATCAAGAAAATCTATTTAATAATAAGTACATCGACTAATAATCTACCTCGAAGCACTGTTATTACGAAATTCAACAGTCTAACTTATGTATACAAATATTATGAAGAGGAATGATTTGTATTTTTGTATGTATTGAAATAATTCAAAATCTACTGGGACGATTTCAAAAATTCGTTTATTATTAAACAGCTTTGTTATCTCTGAATAACATTGGCTATGTTTTTACTTTTTTATTTCATGTAGACGAAGTCGCGAGCAACAGTTAGTTATTTATGTATTATAAAAGGGAAAGTATGACAAATGAATTACGACATTACGACTAAAACTGTAATATGAGATTATCTTATCGACATTTGTGTTCATATATTTATTAAACAAAGCATTTAATGTCGTAATACAAAAGGTAAAGTCGTCCGTAACACGTATTGTGTAACTGAAGCCCGATAAGTAAGGCTTTGATATTGAATACCGTCGGAGGACGGCGACGGGAATGTTTTCTATTATTACTGAAATGCCTTTAGCCATGTACAAAAAAATAATTGAATGTTGAATAAGAAAAATCCTTTGTTTAACTAATAGAACATATTAGATTGTCTGTATATTTTTCGCTTTCAATAAGATGTTTTTGCGTATTTTTATTGAAAATATGGATTTTAACGATAGTATAACATTTAACATTGTATATTTGTCTGACTGTAATGGCCATACCGAGCTTCTAAATTCCAAAACTATAAAATAGTACATTTCTATTGTAATATAAAATTTTCGAGAAAAAACATATCTGTTATTACTATGAAATAGGTCGTTTAATATATCAAGTAAATTTTATACGATCATTTACGATGTTAACACAAAAGAAACAGAAATACTTTTGACTTAAATAAACTACGCATTAACTAAACAGATGCAATGTTAAAACGATAATAAAATAACAAAAAGATGACTTGATTAAAATTATCAAATTCAAATTAAGAATATGTATTGATTATGAAGAAAAAATCTATAAACAATATACTTACAGGATTCGATTGGTGCAATATCTGGACCATCATGAGGCATTAAGATCTTCATGGTAATAGCCCCGGGTAATACGCTGCTAGAAACCGACACTTTGAATAATTTCTTAGCCGACTGGTTGAAGAAAAATCCTATTTTCTCAATAAGTCAGGTAATGCGAGCTGTTGTCACTACGATGGCTATTGCACTATCGATTAAGCTTTGAGATTTGAAGGTCCACGCATGCGCGGAACCCATACACCACGCATGCGCGGTAAATAACCTTTTTAGAGTTTTTTTTAAGTACGGAAAGACGTCATTTGACAATTGACGGTAGACAATATTATATCTATTTTTTTTAAACACCATAGATATTACTCCCTAGGTACAGAACAGGCTAACTATAATTATCCACTCTGTATATGGCTATAGTGAAATAATTTTATGGTTTACAACTCGAATTTGCCTTTCTTTTATTAGTATGTTACTTAGGAATTATTGGGTTTTCAAGGTGATTTGAATGAAAGCACTGATGTTAACGGTTTTATTATAAATTAATTTTTTTTATTGAAAATCGTAAATAAATTTACATAAAATATTAATAAATATTACATCACGTGTACAAGGTATTTTGGATGTGACACTGCGACTTGTGTACTTGTTTGTTTGTGTGAATGTTTGTTTGCGTGGAGTGCGACGTCTAGTAACCGGCGAGCTCGGCGAAGGTCGAGTCCATTTCGTCGGCCAAGCTCTTGTAACGGTCCTTGTTGATGCCCAATTCGTCTGAACAAATAATTCTTCTGTTAGAAAATACGTTCAAAAACCGTTTATATTTCTAATAAGCTTCATTTAAATATATAAAACTATGCTATAGATACATTTGAAAACTTTTCTCTCTAACTAAATTACAAATTAGAACACAGATAACCTAAAAATAAACTTTTTTTTAAATAAACAAAGTAAGGAATGATTTAAAGAAATCAGTTAAAATTATTTATACGCCAAGAAATGTTTTAGTATAGAAATATTCTGGAAAAAAAATGTTATTTAAAGACAGAAAGTATGATCTGTTTTGAATATTACAAATTATAACCTCACTTTTTTAAAATAACAAAATTATGAAATCAATGATAGTTATTAATATTTTAATTTATTAAAACATATTTAACTTTAAATAGATATTTAATATTACACTTTTATTGCTAAGCTATTAATATTTTTATAATATATTGTTTATAATGTAGATATTAGATAATAAATATTATGTACCTTGGAAGATTTGGTCCACCACGGTAGCGGTAAGCAAAGACATGTTAATAACAAACAAAAAAAGCAAGGACTCCTATACTAAGCGATTTCTAAAGGACCGTCAGAATATTGACCAGAAAGTCGACGAATCCCCTAAATATCAGCACAGGAGTTAGTTGATTAGTTTGAGATAGAAAATTATTGCGTTTTTGAAATAGAAATTCAACACGAATTGCTAATTATTTTATTACACGTTGGAGATACATATACTTCAAGATACCATCTATTAATGAAAATAATTTAGAATTACGTTCCTTCGGTTCACAGAGTAAAAATTTTACGAACGTGTTTTTTTTTTTAATTTTTAGTTATTAGGTATCTGGATGTATGTAACGTTTGTTGATGGATTCTTTATGGATTTAAATTGAAATACTAAATGTTAGTAACGATGTCTTAAACTAAGTGCTAAAGGGTCATTAGTATCCTGTGAGTTCGGCGAAAGTGCCGTCCAAGTCATCGCATATCGCCTTATATTTCTCCTTCTCGTTGAACAACATGTCTGTAAAATTGTGATAAAAGTGAAGAGAATTAACGCTGCGATTCCCTAAATATGATAGACAAAGGACAGAATGATAGTTTAGATTAGATTTTTTTTATAGATTAAATATATTTTTAATTATCTTTTTAATAATTAAGAGATAATTAAGATCACTCGAATGTTATTGATTTGATAAATACGTTTGTCAAATATCAGAAACATTCATTTTAAAGAAATCAAAGTTAATAGTTTTAATTTGATGTTATACTTTAGTCTTAATAGAATTATTTCAGAAGATTTATGAAGCATATTACGTCATTTGTCTCTATGTTTAATGACGTCATACCTTCGAGCCTGTCGACTTCCTTCTGTAGTTTCTTGACGGTCTTCTCTGCGTATTCTGCGCGCGCTTCCGCTTCCTTCAGCTTCGAGGTGAGGGTCTTCAGTTGCTTCTTGAATTCTTCTACGCGCTGGTTGGCTTTCTCTTCTGACACTTCCAGGGATTTAAGGGAGTTACCTACGACCTGAGTGAAAGGTACATCGTGTTGAAAAATACTTGAAAAATTGGGTTACGCTAAATTTATGCCAAAACATACTCCTAATTGGAAAATGTACAAAATAAACTGTAAGGAATCCTCATCTTCAAATCAAGTTTTCATTATTTCACAATTTACAGTCATGAACATTCTCAATTTAATTAATTAATTTCTTCAAATATAAAATCAATTTTGGTTAAATTCAGAGTACAAACCTTTAATTCCTCCTCAAGTTCAGAGATCTTGGCGTCTCCAGACTTGACACGGTCCTCAGCCACTTCCAGCTCGTCTTCAACGAACGCCAGCTTGCGGGACACCTTCACACGACAATTAGTATGTCAAATATAATCTAAGTCTGCTTAGTCATTTAACAGAAGAAAAAAAACAAAAGTACGTAGCCTATGAGTTTTTCCATACTATCCTATAAGTGTATCCCAAATTTAAACGAGATTCGTTCAGAGATTTAGGCTACAAACTCTAACAAACATCTATCCATCTAAGCTTTCGCATTTATAATAATATTAGAAAAGACCAATAATACTGTGATTACTAATGTGAATGTATCTAACCTCGTCAGACTTGCCGTCGGCATCCTCAGCGAGCAGACGAGCCTCCTTCAGCTGGTTGGTGAGCTGGTCCATACGCTCCTCATCCTGCTGCGCCCTGTTCTCCAGTACCTTGCACATGCTGCACACACGTTTAGAAGATTAGTACTGAGATAACAGTTTTTATTCTTTACAAATAATACTATTCATATACCTGACTATCTAAATTATTATCTTTCAAATCTTGAGTAAACAAACTTCACAAAAGATTTCAATAAATATGATTTACTAGTTTTCGCTCGCAACTCTTTCCTCGTGGAATTAAAAACAACAACTGTGAGTAGCCTATTTGTTCTTCCAAACTATCCTCAAGGTCTATGCCAAATTTCATAGAGATCCGTCCAGCAGTTTAGCCTACAAACTTTAACAAACATCCATGCATCCATCCATCCATCTAAACTGTCGCATTAATAATACTAGATTAGATTAGTTAGCTTGTAAATTCAAATTTAAATTACACTGCATTTTTTGCTTCAAATTGGGTTAAAATGTACAGGAAACAAATTAGATTAAAGCGTTGAACATGTTCAAGATCAGTAGCTGTTACCGGTTGTTCTCGTCAGCAGCCTGCTGGGCCTCGAGCAGCTTCTGCTGCGCTGTGCCGGAGCGCTCCTCGGACTTCTCGAGGTCCTCCTCAATTTGCTGCACCTTCCTGTTGAGCGCGGCGACCTCCGCCTCGGTGGCGGCCAGCTGCTTCTCCTTCTCCTCCAGGTCTTTGTTCGCCTGCTCCAGCTTGTTCTTGTTCAGGATCAGGTCCTCCTCCACCTGGGCGAGCTTCTTCTGGAGCTCACGGACTTCCTCGTTCACCTGCAGGAGTTTTGCTTATTAATATGTGAATCAATATAAATGCAACTTATTTAATTTAACAATATAATTACAAGCTGTTTTGTACCGTGTTTTCAGCATTTGATTAAATTTACTATGCTTTTCTTTCAAACGTATCGCTACACTATCTGATCACTCCAATATATACTCGTCACTAAAGAAGCAGTGTCCCATATTAAATCCTTTAGTGAGCATTTAACTGATGACGTGAATTTAACTAATGATCCTAACCTATCACTTAAGATCGCATGGGAGATCTTTTTATCGCAGATCTTGTGAATGGAATGTCAGTCACCTTTTCGGCACGGAGGTTGGCATCCCTAGCCTGCTGTTCGCAGGTGTCCGCCTTGTCCATGGCGTTGTCCTTCTCCAGCTTCATCGCCTGCATCTTCTTCTTGATCGCGTCCATGGTGGAGGTTTTGTTCTGTCTTTACGGTCCCGATGAAATATACGCCAGCTACTGGCCTGAGAATAACACAATATTTGACTTTGAGTTGACAGTTACTAATTTGTAAATAGAACGCTGTCAATTAATACTTAACCTAAACTATTGACGGTTCACGTTTTGTTAGTTTTACTATATTAAAAATAACTTTAAATTCTGGATAAATGTATCACTAATATAAACTTTTATTCAATTGTGGTAGAAAAATCTTTAAGTTCTAATTTCAAGGGTATAATCGTTTTGTTTAAATATTTAGTTGTCTTAAAAAAGTCTTGTATATAAATCTACAAATATATCCATCATCATCATCATCCACTTGCCCTTATCGCTTACGGAGGGTCGGCACAGTATGTGCTGCTCTTCCATACATCTCTATCAGCCGTCATATCTGAATCCACTCCTTTCTACAAATATATCTAATGTCACTAATTACATTTATAATTAAGAAGTTTCAAATTACACATTCAATAAATTGTTTATAAAACAGTTTAAAAATAATCGTTTGTAACAGAACAATTCATATACGCTTGGCACGTAGCCAATACGGCAAACGCAGGGCTGCATTAACTAGCGATCGGTTAATACTCGTGGTATTAAACTGTAACCTATATAAAAGAGTTTATATCTTGCGACCCGATTTACTCCGTCCTATAAAACAAGGCTATATTTTACTCCACGATCGAAAGGTGAAGTTCGTTATTTTATATTGGAAACACCTGGACACGTGCCGTTTACTAATTTTTACTTCGTGTAATTTGTAACGAAATAAAAACGTTTCGTATTTGAAATGTAGTGTAGAATATTTCTATGCTATAGAAATTTAATATTAACTCAATTAAAGCTACAAAAACGTATGTTATTTCACTTTTTTTCAACGAAAATGAGAAGGAAGAAGGAAGGAAGGTAGAGTTTGCACTTAAATTTTGTTAATATTGTTCGTTAATAATGAATCCTAACTTATGTTATTCATTATTGTTAAAACATCTTTCATTAACCTGATTTCCTTAAATATTTTAAACTTATTTAAAAAATATTGCTGCAAGAAACACCACAATGTATTTTCTCTTTGATACGCAACAGTTTTTATAGGTTAAAAACAAGGTGAAAATTTTATAATCTGGCGTATTTTAACGAGGGAGGAGCGATTGCAAAAATAAATGCCAGAAAACATGACGCGGTGGTATTTCTGGCCAGTTCTCAAACGTTGCCTATAACGTCCACTGAAATAACACACGCTCCCGCGCAAACTAACCCAACAATTGCTACACGAAAACCGATATTCCAATAAATGTGATACGAGTTAAATAGATTGTTTTTATTTTTAAATAAACAATAATCCTATAATAATAGGATATTTGTTTTAATAATCTTGATTTAAAAAACTTTGTTTGTCCTACTTTGAAGATGAAAGGAATAAATTCGTAATTCGTTAACACGACTGAAATTAAGTTCTATTTTCTTTCAGAAAAGTATAAGCGTTTATTGTTTGATTTTATTATATTATCTGTGAACATGTTACAATAAAATATTCCTATTCGAATAAATTTAATTACCATCATATTGGATCTTGAATATACTAAATAACTCATTTCGTTGTATAGAACAATCATAATTCTTTTCAAATGTGAATTATTTGGCTGTATCTATCTCAAATGTCATTTCTTAACAAAAAATAAATAACTTAAAAATTTGTTAGTTATAGAAGAAATCTGTATTAATAAAGCAATTATATGTATTTTAATTCATGTAATATGATTTGGTTTGAAAATTTTAAATTCGTTTTATTATGTGTTTTGTTAGCTGAATACTCCCGTTCTAAATAGTTAGAGAAAGATATTTGAAATCTTGCCAAAATATCTCTACTACTCAGTCACCTGTTGTCAAAGTGGTCTACAGTGAATCGCTGATAAAATCCAGACATTTGTAATGCTGAAAAAAATCTAACATTGCGTTTAAATTTCAACAAAAGAGAGGTTATGTCGCTTATTACTTTCTGCCATTGTCAGTAAATTAATAACTAATTGTTCGTTCAAACAGCTCCACTCAGATTAAATGTTTCCATAAGGGGTCCCATTGTAGGTATAGATTTTTCAAATCCTCACTAAGTGATTTCTTTAGTAACGATTAGAACTACTGAGTCTTGATTTTAATTGCTTAGTCTAGTGCCACGTATTTGCAAGTTCGTATAATATCGTCGATAATCTGGTCTGTTTCGAGACGGCACCGTATGACGAGACCGATTTTTAGGACGGTTCCTGTCCATTAATGGAAGATCTACTTTCAGCTATGATTTAAAAAAGTATTCTCAGCATAGATGTTTGTTAGAGTTTGTAGCCTAAACTGATGAACGCGGACAGATTCGAGCTCAAAAACTAGTATTTGTATTTATAAATGACGTGTGCTGGACCATCAGACAGACTTCCTGTTTGACTTTTGTTTAAAGTGTTATTTTTTTTTTTCAGCTCAAACTAAATAGAGTATTTTGAAGCAGTTTTAACTGAATCGTAGCATTGCTGTAGCAACTTTTTTTAGTAACGTGTGAAATAGTGTCTTATTTCGATCATGTATTTAAAATTAACTCTGGCGAATAAATTCAAGTTGAATTAAAAAAAATGTACAATATAGAGATATCAAAACAGGTGAATAAATAAATCAATATCTTTTAATGATAAATTAATATTGAATATATTTATGCTTTGTACATCTTTGATTATTTAACTATAACTTATAATCTCAGAGCAATTTACAGTGCGGTATTCAATTAAAATAAAAGTAAATGTTGGAAGTGTCTTTCCCATTCTTATAGATTTTATTCAGTTAATGCATTAAGATAATTCAGAAGTTAGTTTAATAAATTAAAACTTTAATTATTCTTGAACAATACAGTTAACATTTTGTTATTATAAAGACAACGTTTAAATTAACTTAAAAACTGCTTTACAATATTCCATTGATTGATGTCATGCGTTGAAAATTCACTAAATTATTATAAATGAATGTAGAAGTATGTTAATTTCTATGATGATGTAAGAAACATTCAAATTCGTTTCGATCTATGTTTGGTATGTGTTATATTATCTGTTGCTGTCGCTGACGTCGGCGATGTTTTAACTGGTCCCAAAATATCGTTAAAGATTTCATTCCATGAGATATTCGCCAGCGTCCTAAATTAAATTTGGGTAATTTCTTCACGCCGTTAAATAAATACTAATGTTCGTACATGCCGCAAATAGGTTACATGGCAAGCGAGGGGCGTGCGGGGCGTGCGGGCCGCGAGGGAGACGGCCGCGCGGGCGGGCAACACTATTTTCAGCGAGGTCGCGCGCGCGCTGAAATCCGAGTCACATCATAGAAAAACTTAGCACCTGAACTTTTTCACTGGAATATTCTTTAGCACTAATATACCCACACTGTTAAGCGAACACACCGCGAGACGCTTCCAGTTTGGATACCGTCACAAACTAGGATCCCTTGGCGCTGAAGGGAGTTGAGCTTATCCGATGCGAGTATCCAGGCTGGAGGCGGCGGGCTGCGGGACTCACCTCACGAGCTGTTCACACGGCGGAGCGACACGCACTGCGCCCTCGCGGTCGCTCCGCGCGCCGCCGGACTATTTTCGGTGCCAAAAATCCAGGACTTGGATCAGTGCGACGGGTGGCAAGAACTCCCGTCGTCACACTCACACCCGCGCGAGCGCAACTATTTCTGCAGCTTTCTCATGAATGATCAAGTTGGAAATCGACAGATGGATACAGACTTTAGCAAACTTCAGACCAGCATTGCATTTCTAGAGAATTATGACCTAGTGTCGAATGGAATCTAAGCTAACGGAACCTAACAATTTTACTACGTCATGACCTCGTATGGAGTCTTAACTGATTTAACGTATTTGATTGCAAGATGGTTCAATATCAATATCAAGCAAACATTAAATTTTTTTTTTAATTTAATTAGTATGTATGTCAAAAAGGTTAATGCCAATTAACCAACAATTCTATATTTAGCTTCAGTGGATCAAGATCTATAAAAACGTTTTTTTCGATGGATGATTCCAATTTAAGACAGAACTTTTCAAAACATAGTCGTTCCGGATATCATTCGAATTATTAACTTACTCGCCATTCATCAAAATCCAAAGATACCAAAATCTTTTTGTTACTGTTTACTAGAAGTACCAAATTACTCAGAGATAAAAATTCATCCAAAGTCTGCAGAATGTTGTTTTGACACTAAAAGTAACTCCTAACTTACAAGGTCATTGAAATTGTACAAGACTATTTGTTTTTATTGTACCGCGGTGTTATTTTCACAAGAATACAGTCTACAATTTCATGTGAATTTTCAATGATTTACTATTGCCTAATTGCCACGATCAAATTTCACAATATGTGCCACGCGCTATTGATGCTTATGGCTTGGCTAGGACTAATGTTTCTATGGCCGTGTACGTTATTAGGTCCTGTGTTAAGGTAGGGCACGGCTTGTTGTCCGCCCAGGGCTGTACACAGAAAGGGGCGTCACAGGTCTGCGTATCAGTCTTACATTTATTGCATGCCATTTAGTAAAAAAAGGGGGCGCGCCACAAATCTCGCCCATAAGCGATGCTTTTTGTAAAACCATAGCCGTTTTATCTTATTATTAAGCTATATGTTACTTGAGTGCCAAGGAGCCAGCTGAAAATCAGCGCAGGAACGGCTTAGTCCATCCTGCATACGCTAACCTGGCTAACTTTTGCCACGATTATGTTTTCTTTAAAATAAGTCCTATTATGTAATTTCTATTTTGTGGCAATAAATACATATTCATTCATTCATTCATTCATTCATTATGAAGCGTTTGATTCGTATTCTGCTTTAAATAATATACTACTAAGTTTGTAAGGGTGAAATTAAGACTCCATATTTTTATATAAATGTATATTTCATCAAGTTGGAACAGTCGCTCGAAGCTGTGACGCACTTTGTTGAATAAAAAAGCTACAACAGTTTTTTAGAAGCAAAATATTAAATGAGTTTATTGTTTACTGTAACGGGTAACTAACACTAAATATACAAACTTATTACTACACGAGAAAATGATGTAATGCAATTTGTAAAGTAATGAAACAAGTCGATAGAACTGACAATCTGTTAATTTTCACTACCAAAACACTTACAAACCTTATTGTTTCTAAGCGTTAATATATTTTCGTCCCACGTAAATTGAAACCATAGAGATTCGTCTTTTGTTTGGTTTTATTATTCCATTTGGTAGTTTTTCGTTGCATGATGATTTTTAACAGGCGCTTTAATACATATCATAGTAAAATTATTTTACTTCAGTACAAAACTTTTAGTTTTAAATAGCTTAAAAGAGTAAATATTATCGTTTTAAAATGCTTGTTGAAAATTATTCAGCACACCAAAATGTTAATATTTACGGTTGCATAACATCGATTTCTCGTGTTCTAAGAATATTGATAGAAAACTGTTTAAATTTTATAAAATAGGAGATACAAAATCCTTAATACTATCCCACTATTGCCTTATAACTTAAATGTAAAGTTTAAGAGCATTCCATTAACTTGTATTAAAAAAATTATTCGTTTAGACCTTGGCAGTGATTAAAATTCTACCCAGATATTTTTATGAAATATATGTCAACTTATATGAGGCAAGTTTCTAATCGACATATTGAAAATATTTTTTTTTACGTTGTATTGATATTTTCAGTCAACGATACTAAGTTAATATAGAGCAAACTATAATTGAGCAAAAAAAATATTTCCTTTGAAATGAGTATTCATTTTTACTTTAATAAAATTAATTGCGATTTAAAAAAGTATTTTGAAACTTTTCTTCAATTTGTACTTTTTAAAACATGTCGCTCATTTTTTTAATTATTTATTAAATTTTATATATGTTTATATTTGTTGCATGTAACGTATTTACATTTCTAGAAAATATTACTCTAGAATGTGTTACTAATAATCATTAAAATGCCTATCCAATTATAATTTAATTTGTTCAATGTCAACTTCGTTAAAACAAGATTAAATAAATATTATTTAATTTTTAGATAGATTTGAAAATTTACATTTAACATATTGAATACATTAATTGCTTTTGAATGTTCGTCATAAACTTAAACAAGAAACTTCATTCAAGAGAATATACTAAAATACAAGTGAAAAGTGCTTTGCGATACCTTACAAAATAACGCAATTGAATCCATATTTATAGTGAGTCGAAACTTTTTATCACATTACGCCACAAGGCACCAGATCCAAACATATAAGTGCATAGTGCAAACGATTCAAGCATAGTTTTGGCGCGAAGATACCCGTCGACTCACACAAGATGGCGCCCGTTTACAAAATGGCCGCCGTTAGTACCCGGAGAGATCCGCGAATGTTTGATCTACTTCTTCAGCTATCGCCTTATATTTACTACGCTCCTCCACGACCTCGTCTGTTATTAGTAAGAATTATTTTAAGTTAGTTACAAAATCGAAAAAATTGGAATGTTTATGGAATTTTGTAAATTATTTTATAAATGTATAAAAATATCAAATAACCTTTTTCAAATATATTGCATTTCTGAACAAAATAATATTTTAAATAGCAAATTACCTTTTAACTAACCCATATAATTCATGCAAATTTTACTACTAAAGCGTGCTGTAGAAAAATACTCTACCAAATAACTTTACTAAATACTTACTACTAACTAAAGAAATAAGCAACAAATTTAAAATTCACTACATTAATTACATTACCAAGGCAAGTTAACAGTTCTGCAGTTTCTGCAAGCATACCACTGTTGTAAGATTTTGTAATATAAACGAGATTTATTAATAGAATAATTTCCTTTATTTTGCATAAAGATTTAGTAAATAATGTGGATTGTATTTGAAGCTTTCCATGAACTAAAAATAAATACAATGTAAAAAATATTAACTTAAAAGTAGAAGAGTGGAAGCATGTAGCGTTTGTGTACGTGTAAGCATATTTTACAAGGAAATATAAACAAAAACAATAAATAAATATAATAAATTATTTATTATGATAATTCGAAAATAAATACCGCCATAAAAACTATGGATTGTAATATTTTAAATCATAAAATATAAAGTAAGATACGTCTATACAGATATTGTGTGAATCGCGGGCGGATGGTGTTGCCAGGGCGAGGTGCTGGAGTGTGCTTATTCCTTGAGGATGAGCTCGACGAAGGCGGTGTCGAGGTCGTCTCCGATGTCCTTGTACTTCTCCTTCTCCGCCACAAGCTCGTCTGTATACACGTGCGTATTAGATTTCGTACCCAAATTATATTACCTAATCAATATTCCTATCTCGCGGTTTATAACGTGTACCTACTGGCAACACTGACGGTTATGCGAAACATTTCATGCAAATTAATTTATAATGCTTTTATTTATGTACACATGAAATATAAACCTGTAGTTTTTTAAAGTTGCCAGAGTACAGCGTTAGAATTCAATTCCCAATTATGTTGGAGGATCAACGCGCTCTATAAGTCAAGTTTTTAAGCGAATTAGTGGCAACATAATGCGAGAGCGTGTAGAAGTAAATAAAGTTTGCTTACATGTCGCGTTCCTTTTCACGTCGAAGCCATGCGTCGCTCTCAACTAAATCAAGCTGGAGCTTTCGCTCAAAACGTCGAAAGGCACTTCACAACGCATTCATGCAAATTGTAAGGAAGCCTTTTTTCTGAATGTCGTGAAAATAGGAAAGCGAGTTAATGGGTAATGTTGTAAAGAAATATCAATGCAACATGTCTAGGAGTTAGTCTGAGTTTTCAAGGCATGGAAACACCTCTATAGAAATAGTATGTTTCTTTGTATGAATGAGTATTTTACTTCTGTGCTGAGTTCGTACAACCCTGTTATGTAAAAATCAGCTCTGTAGGTCCTCTAAAAACGCAAGTTAGTCGAGTCTGCTAGCGAAACAACATTCCATTGCTATGCTATGTTTCCATTCTTTATTAGCGAGGTAACATTTACAAGACCATAATGGTCTAAATTAGGACGATTAAATGCTGGGCAATATACATTTTAGTGGGTAAATTTAGGACTCTGTAGTTTCAACGGGTGTAGATTCTGCTGGAGGCCTGCGAGCCTCTTCTTCCCGCCGTTCTCTTTCTCTCCTCGCTTCTTCCTCTTGCCTCTCTTTCTCGCGTCTAGCTGCCTCTTCCATTCTCTCTTTCTCCCGTCTAGCTGCCTCCTGTTGCTGGGCGCGGTTCTTTACCGCGTTTTCCAGCTGCTTCGGCGTAGGATTTACTCCAGGGATCAGTTCCACAACCGCATCGTCAATGTTATCGCCGATGTCGTTGTACTTTTCAATCTCGTTGATCAGGTCATCTAGAGCAGGTATTGGCAGTGAACTTTGTGCCCTAACGTCTCAGGCTTACGGAATGGTATACTCTACATGCCTCGGAGTATTCTGACCAGTATCTCTGGGATAGCATGCGTTATCACTGGGTGCCTGCTATTCTAAAAGGTGTAGTAATCATTATTTCAGAGGTTTAATCACATTGATATTTCCGTGCCTTGTTTTCGATATTGCTCATGCTCTTGCTTCGTCATTGTTATTAACAAAAATCCTGACTGAAAATCCATTCTGTGATTTTGATATTTATTATTTGAATAAGGGACAGTGATAGGGATAAGAGGTATAGCTGATAGAATCGACATTAGTAACTCCACACAACATCAAGGTAACACGCGGATTAGTCAAAAAAAATACAAACGAAAAATAATAATATTATATATTTATAAACACTTGTGTTAGAATATTCTTAAAATCATTAATTTATTTCCTTCACGAACTTATCTAGGTGTATAACATTTGAAGACGGATTCATCTCGGTTGATCGATTTTTTTCGTTTTATAGTAAATGTGTTATATTATAGCACACGGATTTGTCCGTTCTATAGAATTCTAAGCAGTCACAATTAGGGATGCGGACTTACCGAAATATCGATATTTATATCCGATGTTATTCATCTTTGAAGTTGATTTTTATAAAAGCAATATTTTTATTTAAAAAATACTTTTTATACATGCTCAATTATAATGCGGCAATACGTTTTAAATACGCTGTTATATACTAATGTTGCCATAATCATTTCAATCGATATCACGTTAACATCGGAATAAATATCGATTTTTATGTTATAGTTGCAACCCTATTCTCAGGACTTTAGGGAGAATTATTGCCAGCGCTAATGTGCTTCGACAGCACTCATATCAACAACTAGATACTTTACCTAGAGTTTAAATTAAATAAATAACAGAACTCAAATTATGACACAAGTAAAGAATCATACTCGGAAACAGAAAAATCTTACAAATATAGAAATACGCGTTACCGACACTCAATTAAATAAAAAAATATCTAATCTCTTATCATACAAGTAAATAATTCATAGTAAATAGCAAACAGTGCATTCCTATTAGTGATAATTATTTTAAATGTCAAAAAAATTTAAATGGGGACACGACAAATCGATATACAAATACTGAGCCACAGTTTTTCCTAACATATATCATATAAATAAGTAAAAATATAATAAATCGATAATTGGTCCACGTATTGGAATGTGGAAAAGCGAATCGCCTTAAACCGTCGAGATGTTTAAAATCAAAATATAGCGGGAAAAATTAGCAACAAAACTTTCTAAATGCTATACATATCTGCGTTCGAAACAAAATTTGCTTGGCAGTGTAGTCGTAGCGATCACTCCTTGACGATAAAAATAAAATAAAAAAGCGGCTGGCAATTACTCTAAACCTAGACACATCTAAACGCTCGCTCGAATCACCACCCATTTTTAAATCAAGGAGTTAAGAATACTTCCTTTTTCATAGACCAATGACTTCAATATTTAAGTTGCAAAATTCTTGAATCTTATTAGCCAGGGGCCTGGTCATCTATCATAGGGTGGCCACCCTAGTTTGGACACCAGTCCTTCCCAAGGGGAAAATAAAGTTGTTTTTTTAGCTGCATAGCTAAATGAGTAGCGGTCATTTCGCCATTTAATCAATTTCAGTGTACTATCAAAATAGGTCGAAGTTACGGGGTTGGTGATTCGAGCGGGGGTGTTGGCGGGGAGGTGGGGGGCGGTGTTCACATGTTCTGGATGTCGTGGAGCGTGGCCTCCATCTCCTCTTGCAGGAGTTTGCTCTTTTCGCGCTCGGCCACCAGGTCGTCTGTAAGTTCAGACGCGGCCACGGTCAGTCGCACACAAAACATTCCACAAACAACGACGAAAGGCATAGACAACCAATTCACAGACTAGACATTTTATTCTACAAAAAAAAAAAAGGTCTGTTGTCAAAACCATTCATCGCTATTTGCAATCACAGGCAAAAATTAAACATCGAAAAAAATAAAACCATGCAGACAAAAAAAAAACATTAAACATCCGAGCAATCTAAATAAACGTCATGCTTTACGCACATAACTGATTTAATATAAAAATACTATACAAATGGTGATTCACACACTATGACTAAATATAGTATAAACCCATATATGTAATTCAGTTATGTGCATTAACAACTAAAAACTGATATAAAAACTAAGCAAGAATTTCTAGCGCAATGAGATATGAAGCTCTAACTATACAAATAAACCCGATGACTTGGGTCTGAGCATTTCATGAGTTTACGCTAAAAGCTTTGGTTATTTCAAATCCAACTTGACTCGAGAGACAACTTAGCTATTCCCGTACCGGAAAATAATGCGAATCTGCTGAACCTTGGAAACTAGCATCAGAAATAATTATTATTCATACGTATTCAAATTCCAGCTAATTGCAAATTTAAATTTAAATCAAATATTACTCATACATTCAATAATACTAAATAACGACAAATACTGTCATAAAATTATAATTAACTTTTTTAATCTTTATAAGGAAAATTTTACCTTCAAGCCTGTCGACCTCCTTTTGGAGTTTCTGAACGGAGCGCTCGGCAAATTCGGCGCGCGCTTCAGCCTGGAATTTATTTAAAAATATATTAAAGCATGTGCACAATATCAAACAGCCTATTCTTTGACAATCAATAAATAATCTATGATTCGGATTAAAAAACAAATACAAAAAAAAATTACGAGAACAAAGAATAGACTGTTTTTAGAAATTCGTCTAGCATGCAATCATTTAGTTTTGATTTCTATTTTCCTGTGGTTATATTTGTGTTTAAAGAAATATTTTTACTTCTTAATTAATCTTTTTTAATTTAAAACTCCATTAGTTATTTTCAAAAACACAATGTAAAAATAGATATATCTTTTGTCAAAATATACACAAAATACAAAAAGGTTAATAAAAGCAAAAGCGACACAAGAACCCCATGCATTTTACCTTTGCCGAAAGCAGCTAAATACTGTGTACGTCGAATCACTAGAGAAATTAAATAAACATATAGCGAATACCTTATACCCACTTTAAGTATGTTACAAACCGTGACAATTCAGTGTTGCCATATACTATAGAAATATCTGAACTTTGGTTGCCATATGTTTAAGTGTCACAAGTTTTAGAAATGTTCTTTTTTAAATGTGTACCAATTTTTAATAACATGTACATTAGTGTTATTCAATTTTTTTCCATCGACTTTATTATATTAACAAATATGTTACTTCAAATTTAATTTAATAAAACCATGAATTCCTTAATTTTGAAGATTAATCTTCATGGATAAAGATTTTTTTTTATTTTTTTATCCATTGTCTAATCTGTTTTTCTATAGCTCTATCGTAAAACAAGATGGCGACCAAAGTCCGTGGCGTGTCAGCCGAGCGTAACTTACTTGCGTGAGTTTCTGCGAGAGGCTGTGAATCTTATCCTCGACGTGCTCCCGCGACGCCATCGCCTGCTCACACATAGTCTTTACAGCCACCATCGGCCACCGACATGCTACCCGTCTTGAGATTATACGCTCATAAACTTATCACATACAAAAAAGATTCTACAGTTCAAAATACTACGAAAGTAAGCAAAATTTACAAATAACGTTCAAAGCGTACAATCACAACACAGCTACACATTACATAAATAAGTATATAAAGAAATTAATACACAAGAGGAACATAGAATAAAATATATTTAAATACATATTTTGAAGCACCAACCGCTGAGGCTACATTATCCTACCACCAACGTACCATTTTCTAACTAGACATATGAAAGCGAAAAGACCAACAATTTACTTAGCGAAGGCGCTGGCGCCTACTCCAATGCAATGGCAACAAGAATCGACCAAAACCTCTATCTACCCTCTCTTTCTAACACATTACCTCTTTCAGCTGTGCACTGAGGACTTTTACTTGGCCTTCGTACGATTCTTCTCTTTGCGTCGCCTGCGATTATTATGTTTACAAAATTTAAAACAAAACAGCGATAACAAAAAAAACTCCATGCTGTATCATACAATGTTGCATATTTTTGCATTGGCAACACTGATAGATACCATAAAGTTAGGGTAAACGATTACTAAAAATTAAAACAACAACTGTTAATAGGGAAAACACAACATCTATAATGCAAAAAGGAGTATCGGTATGGAAAACTGCAAAACGTAATATACCATTTTTACTAATATTAGTAAATCTGGCATAGACTAGGCTAAGTAGGTGAATGCAGTTAGGCAAGCAGGGACACTCGCTATTAAACCGATCTCGCTTTCACACCTCCTTTAGGCGGGTGGTGAGGGTTTTGATTTGGTTTTTGTACTCCTCCTCACGTTGGTTGGCCTGCGTGGAACGTAATATTATCACTAAATAGTCTAAAAAATCACCCTAACTTAGGGTAGGCTCCAAACCCCTCAGTGGGGACTTATATTGAGCTGGTGTATAAAAATTGCTTTCAGCTATCTGTACCTATATGCTTAAATCTTTAAAACTACGTAAAGGATTTTGATGCAATTTATTAGTTTCAAAAGAAAGATTTACGTGTAATATAGTATAGAAATACCGACAATTTTGACTCTCTAAACATTGCATCACATTTGTCTGATGACCATAAATTCTATCCATACTCTTTTTGGACACTTTTCAAGATGGTTGGTGCATCATTTAGGGTTTTTCTTTTTTATGTCTAAATAAGATATCTGTCGACAATCGCTTGTACAAATCGTTACAGGGCTAGGGCATATAAAATGACTGTAAAATATAAACAAGAGTTCTACAATTTGTTAACTGTCAAGTTGCAAAGTATTAAATGTATATTCTAAATGTAAAGTTATAAAATGAACAAGCGATTGTTGACAATTTTTTTGTATATCGTAATTTATTAAAGAAACTCATGCATACCTTCTCCTCGGAGACTTCCAGGGATTTCAGGTTGTTACCAACAACACGGAGTTCTTCCTCGAGCTCCACGATTTTGCTAGAAAATAAAACGAGACAATCAATTTCTACTGAAAAAAACCCTATCATTTATATTTGTTTAAAATAACTATTTGTACTAATGAATATTTTTACTTTAGTCAAATCATTTTTATTTTAAACTTTTTTTACTTCATAACAAATGATAGACGTAAGTCTTAATTTAATTGGAATAATAAATTTAATTCTACAACTTTACTAATAAAATAAGCGCAGAATTTAAAAAAAAGCGTGCAAATTAATAACAATAACATATGGCTAACACTACTTTCAAAGTATATTTAAAAAAACTAAGTAATAAAGAATGTAGTATAGCCATTGATCATGCATATTATTAAATTAGTTAATTTTAAATGCAAATTTTAAAACAATTTTACAATCACATTTAAATTTGTTTTAAAATTTCAACAGCAAATTATTTCTATCGTAAAGGATAATAACGGCTGAATAACTTAACAAAAGACATATAATAGAAATCCTTATTTCCTAAATATAACAGGATAAAACTGACCCCTTTACAAAAAAAACATCATTATTTTATGGGGAGAGGATGAAAATAAAGAAGAAAGTATTAAGATTGAATATGAATGGCTACTAAGGTAGAAGAAAATATGGATGTATTGTGTGAAAGAGGATATGCTTAAGGAAGTGAATCCAGATAAGACGATTGATAGTGATGTATAGAGCGTAGGGATACGGCATATCGATGATTATGTATCGATTAAGACTTTTATGAAACATATACATACAACATTTTCAATACGAAGTACATCAGCCGCTAGTACCCGTACTTACCAGTCGCTCTGCTCAGCGCGTTCCTCGGCCCTCTCCAGATCCTGCTCCATGAGGACCAGCTTGCGCGCCACCTACCGCCGCCGAGCGTTAGTACACGCCCACACGCACACACACAACACACACTACCGCGACCACTCGCCACTCCCCGCCGCGTGGCATTGTGCTATGTGCCGTCGGTGGAAGGTTCAAATTCATACGACTTATTATCGTGCTAAGGATAGGTTAGGAACGACAGGTACTAAAATGTAAGGAATTAAACTATAGGGATGTTCTAGATAAGGTTGTGCAAAGGTTTTCATCTAGAGGGTAAAACAAAAGGATCACACAAAGCGGGTAGTCGCGAGTGGCGTTCGAAATCGATTGTAATTAAATAAACGAGGGTTGTCCCAAAACATTTAGCTCTAAAAATTTAGTATCAGTATTTAAAAATAAAATCTAAGTGCTATCTAGTGCGTCAACATGTTCGTTATGTGATGTGTGCGCTTGCATATGTGCGGCACGCATACGGCCAGTAATTCTGGTGTAATGCGGTGCATATCTGAAAACGAAAATTGCCCTATACCACACATATCTCTGAGACCTAACCTAGCCACGATATTACACACATTGAGGACAGAAGTTAAGTCGACACATTGACATGATAGTTACATAAGAAATATCCATGAGATGGGGCAACCCTTGTTTTTAGTCGACGGGACAAAGAGGCTTGCGGGTCGCGGACACCGCATGCGACCTTGTCCCGCTTCAACTTAAAATTATGCAAGTTAACGGAATATTAACAACAGGCACGAGGCAATTAACTAGTAATGCAAATATAAATTAAAACAAAATAAAAATATTAAAATCTCGTTCACTGCATCCATCTCGTAGACGACCTAGAATGTACATGCAAACAAAAAAATAACCGAAAACGGAGTTACCAAATTTGGTAAAACTTGTCAAGTGCGATTGTTAACAAAATAAAATGAACAACCATGCAGTGGCAGAAATATTTGCACAACAAAGCCTCAAGATCTACAACATTACAATACCACATTCATTAAAATCCTTCAAATAGAATAAAAATATTTTTAAACATTTAGGAAGAATAAGATTCGCAGTTCAACATAGCCTGTATTCAATTGAGGTCACGTTGAAAGCGTTAAATAAATCTCATATCAAAAAACATTATTGTAAATGAGACAATGAATGTGAATTGGTTGCGATCCGTCGGCAAAGGCAAGGAAACCTACGATTCACCGGCCTCGGCGCGTTCCTCCGCACGCTCCAGGTCCGCCTCGACCATAGCCAGCTTACGAGCAACCTGGGACACAAATAACGTCACAAATTGACACAATAATCGCACAGACCTACCGATACTTGTGCAACGCCCTTCATATATGGCCGTAAGGCTTATGTAATGCGCAGGGCACTTGTTCTACCTTATAAGGCGAAGAAACTCAAGATCGGACGCGATACCATTCCTTCTTCGGCGGTTGACTTTTACGAGCGCCTTCACCGCGCAGGGTCATACTTCAGGGGAATTGGGACACTGATGTACCATCTGGCGACCGCACATGGTAACGAGGTTTTTTTTTAAATTAACCTCACCTCGACTACGAATAAGGAATGATGTTATCATGTACCGTATATCACGAACGGCGATAACTTATCATTTGTAAAGAACTGTGAATTATAAAGTCACAACAGCATGCTAGGTATGAAGGCTGTGGGTATAATTAAATGCATCATGATTTCAGATATGGTTAAAAGGTTTATTAGATGAATTTACGGAAAACAAAAACGGTTGTTAAAAATTGGGTCTAAACACTGCTGAGAATTAATGAACAAGGATAGAAATACAAGAGTTATGAACTCGTCAGAGAACAAAGTTCAAAAGTATTCGGGCGAGCAAACAGATTTATCTCGGGATAATATTTGTCCATAGATAATGGTAAAAATGTCATCAAAAGGTTCATAGTAATTGCGTAGTTATAAAGCGGCAGTCGGGGAAGCAAACCAAACGACATCTAAACACAAAGACCTCATCGTATTTCTTGTCTGCTTCCTCAGCGAGGAACCTGGCCTCCTTCAGCTGGTTCTCCAGGGCGTCCATACGCTCCTCATCAGCCAACGACCTGTTCTCCAGAACCTTGCGGGCACTAAACGCCATAACACAAAACTTGAGTATCACATTATATCCTATAACTATTAAAATCAAGGGTAACCCAAGTCGGAAAACATGCAAACAAGGTACACTTAAAGCGAACAAACAATACGACGAATTCCGCTGCAAGAAAATGTTGAACCCGGTATTAAGTGGCACCGTTACTTTCTGACAAAACAGATACGAAAACATTGCCGTCCTTGTCATTCTATTTGAAAGAACGGATATGTTTTAGTACAAGTTTTACAACAGTGGAAACTCGGCTAGAATGATCCATTCACTTAAAACAGAGTTCTTATTAGCTTAAATTATTATCGTGTAATGTTTCAGTGTACAATTTCCGCATTCAAGGGATTTATGTTAAAGAAATTTGCCACGAATACAGAACAGAGATTTGTCTACAATATTTTTCTGACCTAATTTTGAAACCGCGAGAAACTAGATCTAAAAAAGTATAATTTATTTATATATTTTAAAATACGAAATTCACTGAAACATTAACGAGAAAAGACATTAAAATGAAGATAAAAATTGTATAATTAACGTGTCATTATATTATCGTTAAAAAGTTTTTCAAATCTTTAAAATGATTTAAAACACAAAGTGACCACAAAGTCTAATTCGAGTACGTACTTCTTACATTTCCATAGAAAGGTGAAACGACTCTTGCTACATTTTTAAGTCTTCGAATACGCTCGCATTACAAATTAAGAACGTATCGACTTACTTACATCGATTTCTCGCATTATCGCGTTCTGTGCTCCTTTTAAATGTCAATTTCAAAACTTTCGTATTTTTTAAGAAAAAGTGACATGTCAAGGAGTTTTACGTAACGTCAAAAATGGTGCATAATATAATAACACGATAACCGATTAAATTAAATGTTGAAGCTTTCACCTCTTCGTATTTCTTGTCCGATTCTTCAGCGATGAGTTTCGCTTGCGACAGCTGGGCTTCCAAGATGGCGACGCGATCGTCCTCCATATTGGTTCTGTTCTCCAACGCCTTGCGTATTCTGGTTAGTGCGGGGCCAAACACATGCATGTTATAAACATCGATAGACAAGTAAATATAGTCTTGTACAGACATTTCCAAACTTCTCTAGGACCCCAAAGTCTATCAAAGACACGACAGACGTGCACATTGGCAGAAATTAATGGGTATACAAGTATAAGGGTTCTCTAAAGTATTAAGATTTTGAATGGAGGCCACGAGAAAAAGTTTGGGAATCTCTGGTAGAGTATATTATAATATAATGAAATGATAGAAAGGAAAACACATTGAAAGAATTCTGTTCCTTTAAACTCGATAAGATCCACTAAATTTTTATTTATAGCAATTAAACTATGATTTTTAAATATCACAGCAAAATAACACAAAACACACATGCACAAGTAGATATATATTTTTAAAACATATTGAATTTTCAGCAGTGTCCCAAATATCAGTTTTAATCCAAATTATACATGTAAATATCAATTTATTGCTTTATAAACTGGTTGTATACTGCTTAAAATTCATTACGTAAATTTAAGATTTCAACACAGATATTATTATACAAGATAACTACTTTGTCCAATTTTAAATAATAACGAAATACGATAAACATCAAAACCAACAAGAAAAAAATTTATGACATCAAAAAATCTTTTACAGAACCAAATTCGTTCATTCTTTGAAATAAACTAACAATCTCTAAAGCAAGAAAATAATTTTATTAATGTTTTTACCTATTGAATGTGACAATTACACATATATTGACAATAACATGATTTTTTTATATTAGAATTAGTTAAGCTACTGTGATTAAAACTTGTTCTAGATTCATCTAAATATTTAATAGGGAGGTGTCATGATAAAATGGTTATCGCTCACCGTTCAGACTCATCTGCAGCCTGGCTGGCCTCAGCCAGCTTGGCGGTGGCAGTCGCGAGACGCTCTTCTGACCTTTCAAGGTCTTCTTCCAAAAGTTGGATACGACGGTTGAGTGCAGCCACTTCGGATTCGGCCTGGGGAGAAAAAACATTGCAAATTAAAACTTAAACTCATTTAAAATAACAATCACAAGTATAATTTTAAATTTGCTGATTTAATACAAATTTAGACTAAACTAACTTCGAGAAAATTCTTGACATGTTATCTCTTATCAACTAGTGCCAAATTTGACCTATTTTCAAACAGATTGGGTTGATATGAAATTAAGATTTGTAGACGATTAACAGAATATCGATCGATTTCCTATTATTGTCAACACGCACATGAACATCACTAGTCCATACATACTATATCGATACATAAAAAAAACGAATTAATTGCTTCTGTTCTTAGACGTCATGTATACTAAGTACATTGGAACCGCATTGTTAAATGTCGACACGTTACGTGCGTCGAATTGAGAGGCGATCGGAATATTTTCGCTACTAGTGCCGCGGGCGAACTTTATTTATATTCTGTGGGCCGCACATGTCTATGACGTCATTCGTCCTTGTTGCGAGGATGTTCTCAAACGAGTCCCAGTTTCTCCTTTTATCCTGTGTCGTCAGCAGACGGACGTAGCCGCTAATAATAGTGACAATCATTAATAGAATACTCATATATGGATAAAATAATAAGCTATAGGTTTAAAACTAATTATATGCGTGAATATTGATTGTATGGCTTTCAATGACCATGACCATAAAAATTAAACAATGAAGAGATGAATACAATAGCCATATAACAAAAATATATAGTTTCTTGAGAGAAACACAAACATTTTACAAAGGAATTAAATATTACAATCAGGTTTTACTGTTCTGTTTTAAAGGAATAGAGAAAAAAACTTCTCAAAGAGTTCATACATAAAAATATCTCACAAGTAACTAAGATATAACAATAAATTTAACCAAACTTATAAAGTGAAAATACTCAAACCAATATTTAACTAAAAAGGAGTAGCAATTAATTATGACCAGCTAATAAGTTAAAATACAGGCAATCTGGAAAAATGCTGTAAATCATTGACTATGTTGATATAAGACCTCAACTTTTACATATAAATTCACAATTTATATGATAGTTGTATAATTATATTTATTACAGAAAATAATATCCTTAAGAATGTTTTGGCAATTCCCGAGTTTAACTAAGCTAATAAATTCCAATAATGATACATCAATTTTAATAATAAATGAATAAAATTAACTTCCAAATAATTGTAAAAACAATGCAATATTTGTGGTAATTTGTATCAACAGTTTTGTGCTAGTTTTTGAGAGTTTATAAGTTAGAACGAACATTTAATCCCTTTGCACCATTCACTACTATTCATCTCGTTATTTTCACATTAAGTAGTATATCTATATAATAGATTGATCAAAATTAATATACTAAAATTCTTATTATATCTCACTATAATGTATATGCAAAAGGTTATTGTCGGTGTGTATGTTTGTTAGAATGTATCTCAAGAAACGGCTTGAATTTTGGTCTAGACATAGAACACTAAAAAATAAATAAGCTATTTAAAGAGGTTTTATTTAATTCTGTGCAAAGTCACGGGCAATAGCTAGTATTCTATATTATGGATTTTACATTAAGCTGTAACATGTTTGATAATTTTTTAAGTTTTGCTATTCATCAATTCTGCACATTTTTAATTTTTCAAGTCATATATTATCTTATCTTCAACTTGATATGAAATCTATTCAGTATAAGGTTGTTCAATATTAAGTCATAATTATTCTAAAAACAACAAATTTAGTCATAGAAAGAGGTAAAAACATTATAAAAACAATAACTTGTTTAGTAGATAACAAGTGTTAGTAATATTAAATTTTAGTGCAACCAGCCCTTTAGTATTACGTCATAGTGTGATAACAAGGAGTTCGGACACGCCTTCCTGGCGCCGGCGCGGTCCTAGGACACCCGTAAAGGTTTTTTGGTCTGCATGGTCTCATGTCATGGCTAACCACGCAGACACGCGACTCTTTACACACAAAACCTGTTATGTAGAAAAATAAATAGTGCGCAAAAATGTCCTCATATTTTCAATAAAACTAACCTAACTTTAAGATACCGTAAAAATCAGATCAGAAACAGCAATCTTGCTCGATATTAATAGTCTATGGTGAGAATGAGTTAACCACGAAAAATAATGACTAGCCTTTTCGCTCTAACACGTTTAGAACATCTATATTAGAAAGAGAGGTGAATATGCGTACGTCGAAGGCACACCTAAGTATGGCCGGACATTACTCACTATATTATAGGTAGATAGCAACATGCCAAGAATTACTGATATCTTCCAGATTCCAACAAAATGTAAATTGAACACATAAGAACATAAATAATTTCACAGAACACAACACAAACTAAAGACACGTTTTCTTACTTCTTCTCTTCGCATTATTTCCACTTGTAATCGTTTGTGGTACTCCTCGCATTCGTCCTTATATTTTTCCATTTCCTCTTTTGTTTGTCTCATCTTCTTTTTTAGAACGTCCAGAATAGTACCTTGCTGCATGTTTGTGGTCATTTTTATTCACTTGTGTATTTAATTCAATGCCTAAAAGTTAAAACTAAAGACACCTTCGCCCTACTTGCGAAAATGCCAACTGATTGCCCCGTTCGTTACAGCTCCGTATCACGGAGATAGCTGAGCACGAATGAACACAGTGAACACACCCGGCAATAAAATGGCCGCCGTCAACCTAGACGATGCAACTTTATCACCACTTCCACTAATGACGCTCACTTTACTGCGATAGCTTTTCGAGATAATTGTAAAGACTCATTTACGAAAATATAAATTAGTTATACGATTTAATTCATTAGACAACGTGACCGCTTTGACAACAAAATGTATTCGAATGGAAACGTCACTACGGCAGCACTACGTTTACGTCACGCAACCAAGCCGTCCATGAACATACTAGCTCCACCTGTTAACGGTTGAAGTAAGCTACATCCTGTAGGGTCAACTCAAAAGAGATGATTTGAAAGCAATGCATAAAATATTATGGGATTGGCACCACGGTTCAATGATCTTGCACGCATTTATATTGTAGGGCCGGAAACTAAAAACTGGTTAACACAATAGGAACAACTTCTAAAACCATTATTGTGGCGAAACCCTTCTTTATGTATAAAACATATATTTAAACTGATCATGTAATGGCGTACATAAATTACATAAAGAGTTTATGGATATCAAACAATTATTAAAATTAACAGCTGATACAGTATGCAGAACTCTATAACTTCAAATAAAAATAAGCGCCATCTATCGTCGCTTGGTGTAACAACTAAAAAAATGTGACCAGTCATTACGAACGAGTACTATTGGTGGAAACCGAACATTGAATTAATGCACAAACAGTACAAGCAACCGAAATTCGTATGACGTAATTTAGAAAGTATGCGCCTGTTTTAATTCCGTTAAATGAACACATAGACATTGCAAAAAATTGAGGTAACGGAATGTCCAAATAAATTTCCATTTGTTATCTAAGCTAGGCAAACATTCAATGTACCGTTACAATTTAACAAACATTAACACATCTACACAACTACAATATTCTGTTAGCTGCAGTATACAGGATGCGTTAATTATTTATATCACCTTGAGATAACTTTCAGTATCCAAGCAATATTCTTATTTTAGAGTTAAACGTTAAACGTTAAAGAGTTTATAATCTAGAGTTAAATTTTACAGTAAAAAATTTACATATTACGATGGAATTCCATAGTCGTGACTCAAATATGGTTGTCTCTGCTTTCCATAAAAGAATGAGAGAGATGAAACTATAATTTTTAACAAATGCTTCTACAGTGAAAACTCATGGTTAGTGAATTAGCAATTATTTTTTCTAACGTACAAAATATTTCAATTTTATTCTACATTGCAATTATTTAAGAAAACAATTATACACATTTTATGTGGCATTACATAATATTACTGATATTATAAATCCAAAAGTTTAGATAGATGGATGGTTGTTTGTTAGAGTTTGTAGCCTAAATGGCTGAAAGGATACTGATTAAATTTGTCATAGATGTACAGGATAGACAGCAAGAACACATAGGCTTTAACTTTTTTTTAAAATTTCACGCTAACAGAGTTGTGGGCTAAAGCTAGTCTAATACATCAGTAAACATACACTCAAATCAGGTATCGCTAAATTATCCTCATTAATGTGAAAACTATACATAAAACAAAACGAGCATTTTTCATACTATAACTTTATAAAAGTTCCCTATCAATGAAAATTGCATGTGGCAAAATCTTTTTAACATTAATTCCTTATTAGAACAGAACACACTATTACAGTTCCAAAATATTACGCACATTTAATGTCAACCCATCCAATAAAGTTTTGCAAATTCAACAAGATTATTTATGATAAGTAACTACACTGTATTGGTCCCTAATATACTTAAACCTCTATAAGCAAACACTGGAGAAATCAGAAAATATCTAATGCTGGGTTGCTGAAGTCTCCATTTATTTTATCACTTGCTTTCGCCCTCACTCCATCCATGTGGAATTAAGAAACAATAGTGAGTAGCCTATGTGTTCAGACTATACTCTAAGTCTATGCCAAATTTCATTGATATTCATTCAGTTGTTTAGGCTGCAAACTCTAACAAATATCCATCTATCTAAACTTTTGCATTTATAACATTAGTAAGAAGTAAAATTATCTAGTGGTTCATTAGTGTTAGATTGAACTAAGTGTTGACATAGTAATACTCAAGTTACATAGTTCGGAAACACCTTTCATGAAGTTATTAAAACAAACACTAACTAATGGTTGAATGTAGTTAGGAAACCAGCTTTAAGCAAGCCAAGTATCACAGTCCCATTGACTCTTGTTTAACTAGGAACTTCTAATATACAAAGCAATTTTCCATTGAAACAAGGTGAGAAATATTTATTGGTTACTGCACTTGTAAGGTTACAGTAATGAATGGACTGTGAGTATTTTTATAATCAACTTATAATAAATTATAAACACTTAATAACATGTAGTCTCTTAGTTATTTCTAAGGTCTTCAGTTGTGGGATTTCAATGTTTGAATACCAACATTTAATCAAATAATTCCTAATAGTGAAGTTTTTTTATTAAGTATCAAAACTAGAAGACCAATGAGTTCTCTACATTAATATTTTGGTGTTCCTGCTGCTTGTTTGACCCCTCTCTTATAAAAAATGTGTACTTGACACTATATAATTTACGAGAACAGCTGACCTAAATTTGTTCAGATGCCATTCGGATCAGTAATACCGACGTTATCATTAGCTAAGATATTTGTTAGACAAACACTCAAGATATCTTTAGACTGTACGACATATAGCATTAGGAGACAAATGTTTGATAAGTTGAATTTCAAAAATTGATTTGAAATAGTCGGTAAATCGCGTATAATTGCTTTTCTATTAAATAAAACAAAAAAATGATTTAAAAGTCGAGTTTACAGTGTTTTCGATAGTTGCGACATCTAGCGCCACGAGGACCAATCATGCGGGTAAACAAGTCAAACGAAATGTCAGTGGCTCAGCTGATCGGCACGCGCGTAACATGCCTCGCATCTAGAGACCAGCAATACTTTTCACGATTAAAAATAGTTATGAGCACATTTGGCCGACTCTCTCTCACTCACACTAGTACAAAGCTAAAATATTGTAGTACATTACCCTTTTCAATGCCGTATTCTTGATATTCTGCAACTCATTTTTAATTATTGAGAATTTCATCATTGTATCTGAAGAAAATATCGAACTCCCGAAAGCGAGACCAGGATAATCGGCACATCTCCTCCTGCGACGGTTCTCTCTCGCCGCCAAGACTTCTGTACATTCACTAGTACACCTAAGTTTTGCAAGTTCCGCGGTTTCTGGATCATCGTCCGAAATATCGGACGCAATTACAGTCATTTCGGCTCCGTCGCCCGCGGACCTTTCTTCCTTAAACGAAAATTCATCATCCGAGCTTCCATTCGATTCTGCACCAATAATTCTAACATCAAACTCAATCTCATCATCAATATTCGAGTCCTCGATTGTATTTCGATTCGAAAGTGCGTCGTCACTATTCGTCCTTGTCAGTTCTTGAGATTCACTAACACTATTGACACAAGGCACAACATCGTCTATTTGAGTGTCTAAGGTCACTTGTTTGGACGGAGTCGTGTTTATGGAGGCCCCGGGGGCGGGTACGCGGTCGCCCCTCAGCCGCGGGTGGTGTTGATGCCCCCTGCGCCGCACGGGGGTGCGCCCGTGGGCGTGGGGCGCGGACGCGGACATCACTGCACACCGCACGATCCGTCCGGCCGCGCAGCGCCGGCGGCCATGTTGACTGACTATCGTTTTCGTTCGTAAACAATAACGTGGCGCTGCAGTCGCTGGTTGTCCGCCATATTGGATTAAGTCATTGACAGCGACTGTTTTATCGATAGAGCAGCATTTAAGTAGTTGATAAAGCGCGGGATTATTTAAATTTTGTTTATTGTTTAACTTCACCAACGTAAAACTGTTTGTTATTGCGATTTAAAAATTCCACGATACATTATAAAATAGTAATGTAAATTCGGATATTAAAAATACATTAATAAATAACACTGTCACAATACTATTTAACTAACGTAATTTATCTAATGTTAATAATTAAACAAAACGCGTGTAACGTTACTCGTTTGTCGATGAGGTGAGCATGATTCTAATTTTATCGAAACACTGGGCAACGGTCCCATATTAGGCGGGGATCGCCGAAAATAACCGCGGCGGGCACACGACGTGGACGCAGCACCCCCTGGAGCGCACGATTCCAGATGTTATAGGAAAGTTTACAGGAAGTTTAAAAACGTTTAACTAAATCTATAAAATTCATAGAATAACTATTAAGTTGTATAAACTAAATTATTATTTTTCTTTGGTAAATTGAAGCCGTCGTCGGAGAATTTCTACAATTTTGATATATACAGTAATCAATCGAAGTACATAAGAATGGACATTAAAATCCGTATAGTAAATACTTAGTTACTTACGTTCTGTAGGGCCTTCTCTTTCTCTTCGAGCTTGGCGTTGACCTGCATAAGACCTTCCTGTGTCTGATCGAGATCGTTTTCAATGGTCTGGATCTTTTTCTGGAGCTGTCTGGCCTCCTCTTCAGCCTACATATAAAAAGACATTTAAAAATATTTTTTTTTATTTAATAATAAAAATAATAATAATAGAATTGATATAAGCAGTAATAATCTTAATTCTTACTAATATAATTAAATGCGAAAGTTTAGATGGATGGATGGATGTTTGTTAGATTTAGCCTCAACGGCTGAAAGGGTCTTGATGAAATTAGGCATAGATGTAGAGGATAGTCTGGAAGAACACATAGGCTACTTACTATTGTTTGTTTTTTAAGTTCCATCTAGTAAATAATAAAAACTCATGCATATTATTATATTACATTGGACATATTCATTGTTTTCACATCTTAATGCAGATAACTGCGTCTGCGATGCAATAAAAAGTAATTGAAGGTCCGGGATATACACGGAACGCAAATGGAATGCAAAATAAGTTTCTAGACCACAGCCAGAGCGCGCAATCAAACTTGTTCCGTAACATTTTAACATCTACAACGACATACAATAGGAACTAACTTACTAAAGTTATATTATTTTTAAAGACATAGTTAAAAAGGTTGTAGAAATGGGTTTGATTTGATAACGCTTTGAAAGTGTTACAAAAATCTTATTTCCTTCATTCGTAATATTAAGACCTCTTCTATTTACCCAATATTATAAAGAGGATAGATTGGTATTTTGTGAAATATTACCAATAATTAAAAAAAAATCGTTATCCATTAAAAATCTTCGTTAACATCAAGTAAAATAGGCTAAATTTTTGATATTCCATGCGGACGAAGTCGCGATAACAGCTAGTATTTTACAAACATAAGAAAACTAACAGATTTCTAACTAATATGTATTTAATATAGACTGAATTAATTTTGTATTTTTAACTACGTTATCGTAATCTATAAGCGATACTTTATCACTTTTATTCCATTTCCTGATCATTCTATTTTTTTAGTTTTTTAACATTTTTATTGGTTAGCATTTTTAATCTAGATGATATTTACTATCTGTGGACTTTGAATCATTTACATAAAATGCGTTAGTTACTTAAAAACTGAGAAAAACATTAGAGTGCGAAACGCAACGAAACTCATTATTACGATTAGTTAAAAACAATGAAATAACAGTTTCATTTTCATTCACAGAATGCGGATGAAGCCGCACGGGAACTGCTAGTATTCAATAAATCAAAAGTCCAATTACAATCATTATATCAGTAATCCGATCTTATAATTTCGAATAAAATGCATCGTACAAATTAATAACGTTGTATTCAATCTTCGTATACCTAAATATTTTTTTTCCAAAGTCTACAATTTTACTTGGAAAATTACGTACTGTATTAAAAAAAAACAAAACCAGGTAACCCATGTGTTCTTACAGACTATGCTTTACATCTATGTCAAATTTCATCCAGATCCATTCGGTCGTTTAGGCAACAAACTCTAAAAAACATCCATCTATCCATCTAAATTGCATTCATAATATAAAAATAAGAAAGATTATGTGAAAGAGGATATGCAAAAAGTGTGGATAACGATGTATCCATTGATAGAGATGTATGGAAGAGTATTTAATTCTGTGTCGACCCTCAAGAGAATGGTTAAGAAGATGATCTACTGCGTAGTACGCACCTTTTCAGCACGAAGGTTGGCATCCTTGGCCTGCTGTTCGCACATCGCTGCGCGGTCCAAGGCATTGTCCTTCTCCAGCTTCATCGCCTGCATCTTCTTCTTGATCGCGTCCATGGCGGCGGCTTTGTTTTATCACTTTCCTAGACGTAACGCTGTAAATAACAAACCAGCATTAAATAATTTCAGCTAGAGTCTGTTAATTATTCGATAAACGTCTCCCTTTAGTGTTTACCCTAAATTAAATCTTCAATTATTAACGACAGCAGTTAGAGGCCTCTTTCATCAAACACGCTACTAATACCGAATGGTATTTGTATTAGCCGCGCCAGTGGAAATTGTTTCTTAATTTCTCATAGCAATATTAGGAGTCTAGACCCTTCAGTGACTGATAGAGATGTATGGAGCAGCACATAGTGTGCCGACTCTACGTAAGGGATAAGGGCAAGTGGATGATGAGACTCTTCAGTGGATAAGGGTCTACCTCCTTCTCTCTACTTTCAGAGATATTATTTGTCTACTAAAAGAGTCCCTCAGTGTAGATTTATTAATAGAAATACACATTAATGTGTGGCAGTGAGGTATCACGCGTACTTTAAATCAACTGATAATTTCATAGTAATAAAATTAAATAAATATTTTATCAGGTATTTATTACTACGCGGAATGTGTAAACATTTCATTTATAAATAGTTTACTAATTACTTTATCGTGTTATATGAATAATTAGACGTAGGTACTTATTTGGTACAATCAATTTTGTAAATTCTTGAAATATTAGAAAAACTACGGGATTAATTCACAAATTTAACATGAAATTATTCATTTATAAGGAAATTTTAACATGTTGTTTTTTCATTTATCTAAGAATAGAGATAACATTTGAGCATTTAACTTTAACTTCAATAAAAAGTATAACAAATTTATCTACTAGTGTGTGACAATTAAACTACTCCCCCTTCAAAAAAAGCTCTCACCCTATGCAGTGGTACTTGTGTTTTTTTCTCTATTTTATCAAAGAAAATGTCACATTATGATTTAATAACCTATTTAAAAACATAACTTTTATTTAATAGTAAAAAAATCAACTAGTATTATTCAATAAGTAATAAAAATCTATGTTGTCAGGGTACAATCAACTATAGAAATGTAAATACAGCATCCTAGCTATTTGCGTCGAGAGTGCATTGATCTGACTTCCACTAGATGAGTTAGGCTACAACACAGAACGCTGGCTTTTTACAAACATTCCTTAAAACCAAGACAAAAAGTATAATTTGCCAAAGTAAAACGTAATGCTTGTGTTTGATAAAAATTAAATATTCATGTAGATTTAGTTTACACACACATCTTTGAAAAATTATGCTAATATTTTAAATATAATATGAAGAAAATCCATCCAAATATAGCTTTTTATATCAAGAACACAAGAAAATGTCGTTTTTACAAACTAATTCAAATATTAGAGGTTATTTGAATAAGAATTCAAGAACTTCTCTAACCTCAATTGTCTGCAATTTGGTAATAATTTACTGGCTGATTTTACATTTCCAAATTAGAAATAAACACATTGCATAAAATAAAATCCCCGTGAACTTTTTGCATTATTCAAAAATTTGTCAAAGAATAAAAGAATGCTGAGTACGGAACGTTTTTTTGAAATAATACGGCAATGTTATTGACCTTCCTTCATTGAGAAATTACGACCTAAAACACTACCTGCAAACCAATACGTTTGTGGTGTTGCGGAATAACCAGTATGTGTTTACATCAAAGACATTTAAAAAAATAGACGAGGCATAGTGAAAATTTTTTCACTGGTACTTTCTCTGAATGGTACTATATCAGTTTAACCGCCTCGTATTGTCATGTAATAAAACATTTTACAAAAATGTTAATCTTTTGTTATAAAAATTAAATGACACCTACACATAAGCAATTAATTTAAATACAATTAATTATATTGTCATGTTGTTTTGAGGAGCTATCAATAAAAAGAGTTGATAAGATTGTGTGAAAAAATCTCAACAATGCCTCCTCTATATATTTTTTGAATCTCTGTGGCTTACATACGAATAATAATGTATTGTGCGTTCGAGCAAATAAACTGATTTACACGCGTAAGATACACCTTGATTATAAATACGATAATAATTTTCATTCTGACATTCAATAAGTGAATCTCTGTCTGAGAATTAAAAAAAAAACATATTCGCGCCAAAACAAAGACGAGCCGCCATCTTTGTGTAACTGTCAAAATGTTATTCGTAATTTGTAATGCGATTTTGTGAAATTGAGAATGATTTTAATGACTTTAATTGAATAAAAATTAACAAAGATTTATCAAAAACTAATCAATTAATGAGTACGTTAAATATCTAACTTTAATTTGTACTAATTTCTTAATAATTATAAGTAAATTATTAACGTTATGAAATTATCGAATTGTCCATTACTCATGCCTTAAGTAGGTATTGGATTGTGATTCAAAAGAAAAGCATGTTACTGTGAGTCATGTTTCGCAAAATGTACAAAAAGCACACAAAAGGTGATGACCGTGCGTCGATCAGGCATTCTTATGAAAC